TTGTTGTTTAACAATTGAGCATGTATGAAGGTTTCCTCTGCTTCTGTGGAGGATTTTCAGACTTTGTTTACATGTTTCCTGCTCAATTCACTGTCAGACATTTAGAAGTAATCAATTGTTGGTTTTTGCTTAATATTTAGTTTTTGAGCATTTTGATATATTAATAAGAAGCATCAAAGCCTTTGTTTAACCGCACTGTTATTTTATTGCACTGAAAATTTTATTAAAATGGCTGTAGATGTGTCATCTTATGTTGATGAAGGATTATGTTGCTGAACTCTGATCAGTTCTGCTGTTTCAGATGTGCTTTTGTATTAAAGTCTTTATTTGTGTGTTTCCTCTGCAGAATGAAGCTTGTGTTTGGACTGTACAGCCAAGAGAAGCGGAGCTCTGGGACATTTGACAGCCGTGGACTGTAAGGACGGACGTCTGCTGCTGGACAGGTGAGACCCGCACCTTGTGTTTGAGGTTTGGTGTATCGGTTATTATCCTTTTCTTTCTGGAGGGTCGTCCCTCTGGAAAGGAAATGATAGTAACCGAAACGGGAGGAGAAGGGACGAGGGTCTGAATTTTTATACAGCTAAATTTAATTTTGTGGTAAAAAGCAGCATAACCCCTGCTGTACATGGCCCCGTAGGTCAGGGTGGGACCCGACCCATCCCACCCCTTCTTTCACACCACATTCACACATATCGCAGTGATCTGGCTGGGATTGAACCAGCGACCTCTTACCCTGTGAGGCATTGCTCTACCACTGAGCCACAGATCACATGAAGAATGATGTGCTGGAACTCATATTTGACTATTCAAGTGAACATGAAAACATTTAAAGCTTGAGTGGGGTTTGAACCCAGATCTCTCTGATGAGCACACAATGCTCTACTACTGAGCCACATTTCTCATGATAAATCACATGCTGGAACTCATATTTGACTATTATTTCACTGATCTCTGTGCAATAAGAAAGCAGAGCTGGGGTTTGAACCTAAGTCTTCATGACAGCTTTCACCATGGGGAACTTGCCTTTCATCAGGAGTGCCACTGTGGCTCTCACACTTACATGAGGAGTTTAGCAAAGTTTGTCAATTATTATGGTATTTATTTCATGTTTGCAATAGTGAGATTTGAATCCAGTTCTTCTTTATTGCAGTTCAACTTTCTTACCACTGAGCCACATATCTCCTGACTAAACACATGCTGGAATTTATATTTCACCCTGATTGTACTGATATTCTGTTAAAACTTCAATATTGGAAGGATTTGAACCCACAACCTCATTGTCAGAGAACATATATCTTACAGTGGGATTTGAAACCAGGTCGTTTTCAGAGCAGTTTAATATTCTAACCACTGAGCCACAGACATCCAGGCTGGTAATATGCTGGAACTTATGTTTGACTCTGATTTTACGAGTATCTTGTTAAAATTTCAACAAGCTTGAGTGGGTTTTCAACCCACAAATCCATTGTTACAGAATATGTGTTTAACCACATGCACCACTAAGACTTTCAGATTGAAAACTGGGGTTGTGGACACTTTGTTGTATTTATTGACATCTTTTTTCACATTTAAATGTGAGATTTGAACCCAGGAATATCAAGAGTTGTATTTAAAAGTGAGGCTCAACTTCCAGACTTCAGCAGACGGTAAGGGAGACTTTAATACTCTTTTTTTATTCAGTTTCTGTTTCTGCATCTTAATAATTCTTAATTTGAGCTTTAGTTTAGTCAAATAAAGGTTTTCTTATTATCTGAATCTCAGAGTTTGGCATTGAAGCTTCTTGTTTGCTGAAAGTCCTTAATTAACAGCCTCAGGTGTTTCTAATCAGGTTGCAGGTGAACTGAAGTGGCTCTTCGGGATCAGGATTGTCCTAAAGGAAAGCTCTTTGTGTTTCAGTCTTCATGTGTTGATGCAGATCCACTGATTGTCCACAAGAGGGAACTGAATAACTGATTTCATTTTAGATTTAACAAGTATTTTAAAGCTTGTTTGGAGTGGTGCAACACAAAACATTGTTATTGTTAAAAATGTTTAAAAATGACTGTATATCTATTTTATTTTAACATCATTGTTTTCTGTGGGGTTCTTCAGTGGTACATCAACCAGTTTAATAACTTACCAAAGGAGGGTCTCAGTTTCAAAAGACTGAACTGAAATAAATGAAAAGTTTGTAGATCAGATCAGTGTTTCAGTTCCCTCTTGTGGACAATCAGTGGATCTGCATCAACACATGAAGACTGAAACACAAAGAGCTTTCCTTTAGGACAATCCTGATCCCGAAGAGCCACTTCAGTTCACCTGCAACCTGATTAGAAACACCTGAGGCTGTTAATTAAGAACTTTCAGCAAACAAGAAGCTTCAATGCCAAACTCTGAGATTCAGATAATAAGAAAACCTTTATTTGACTAAACTAAAGCTGAAATTAAGAATTATTAAGATGCAGAAACACAAACTGAATTAAAAAAAGAGTATTAAAGTCTCCCTTACCGTCTTTACTGAAGTCTGGAAATTGAGCCTCACTTTTAAATACAACTCTTGATATTCCTGGGTTCAAATCTCACATTTAAATGTGAAGAAAGATGTCAATAAATACAAGAAAGCGTTCAAATCCCACTTTTGATTGTGATAAACAGATGTAAATAAATCCAAGAAAGTGTCCAAAACACAAATCAAGAACGTGAAAGCCTCAGTGGTGCATGTGGTTAAACTCATGCTCTCTCATGATGGAGTTATGGGATCAAATCCTACTTCAGATGATATTCTAGCAGGATATTTGTAAAATCAGGGTGAAATATAAGTTCCAGCAAGTATTCAGTCACAAAATTTGTGGCTCAGTGGTTAGAGAGTTGCACTGTTATAAAGAAGACCTGGACTCTAATATCACTATTGCAAACATTAAATAAAAAACATAATCTTTGTCATAATGACTTTGCTAAACTCCTCATGCAAGTGTGAGAGCCACAGTGGCGCTACTGGATGAACACATGATCTCTGTGGGGAAGCTTGTGGAACAGACTTGGGTTCAAACCTCAGCTCTGCTGTCTTTTTTGCACAGAGATCAGTGAAATAATAGTCAAATATGAGTTCCAGCATGTGATTTATCATGAGAAATGTGGCTCAGTGGTAGAGCATTGTGTGCTCATCAGAGAGATCTGGGTTCAAACCCCACTCAAGCTTTAAATGTTTTCATGTTCACTTGAATAGTCAAATATGAGTTCCAGCACATCATTCTACATGTGATCTGTGGCTCAGTGGTAGAGCAATGCCTCACAGGGTAAGAGGTCGCTGGTTCAATCCCAGCCAGATCACTGCGATATGTGTGAATGTGGTGTGAAAGAAGGGGTGGGATGGGTCGGGTCCCACCCTGACCTACGGGGCCATGTACAGCAGGGGTTATGCTGCTTTTTACCACAAAGTTAAATTTAGCTGTATAAAAATTCGGACCCTCGTCCCTTCTCCTCCCGTTTCGGTTACTATCATTTCCTTTCCAGAGGGACGACCCTCCAGAAAGAAAAGGATAATAACCGATACACCAAACCTCAAACACAATGTGCGGGTCTCACCTGTCCAGCAGCAGACGTCCGTCCTTACAGTCCACGGCTGTCAAATGTTCCAGAGCTCCGCTTCTCTTGGCTGTACAGTCCAAACACAAGCTTCATTCTGGAGAGGAAACACACAAATAAAGACTTTAATACAAAAGCACATCTGAAACAGCAGAATTGATCAGAGTTCAGCAACATAATCCTTCATCAACATAAGATGACACATCTACAGCCATTTTAATAAAATGTTCAGTGCAATAAAATAACAGTGCGGTTAAACAAAGGCTTTGATGCTTCTTATTAATATATCAAAATGCTCAAAAACTAAACATTAAGCAAAAACCTACAATTGATTACTTCTAAATGTCTGACAGTGAATTGAGCAGGAAACATGTAAACAAAGTCTGAAAATCCTCCACAGAAGCAGAGGAAACCTTCATACATGCTCAATTGTTAAACAACAAATATCCCTTTTTGAGTACAGAGTGTTAAAGACAGTATCAACATCAGCTTTTGTGCTTTATAGCAGCTGATACTTACAGGTGAGTCTCTTCAGTCGATTCCTGCACTTGATCGCAGATTCTGCTGCTTTAATCTGCTGTTGAGCTGGAATATGTGCTGTTTAAACACATTAAGAGTCTGTCGCTAAGCTGTCATCTGTAAATGATGTATTTTAAACCAACTGCAGGTGATTTGTTTTGGAGACTGTCATCTGTCATCACACGCTTCTTCCTTGTTGTCAAACAAACACCTGAAGCTGTGAGTCAGACTGAACCAGAAGCCGCTTTTGCCGCCTAGTGGAGCGGATGAAGAACAGCACTTTACTCATAATTGTGCACTCAAACATGCCTCAGATTGGGTCACTAATTATATATTTTAGTCTCACATCACATGCTTAAACATTTTCAGACTAAAGCATTAAATTCCCTATCACAAAAACAGAGCAAATCAATACCTAATATTAGTACAGAGATGGTGTTTGAACCCACAACCTCACCTTCAAGTAAGATGTGTTTATCCAGTTGAGCCACACTGACTTACACACTCACTGCTGCAGTTTAGCACACTTTGCTGGATGTAATGCACCTCATAGGTTTTAAACATAACTATAATAGAACTTGAACCCAAGACTCCAGAATCTCAAGCAAACTCTTTATCTCACACACCACAGAGGATGTTGGAGACAATTTATATTTTGATGTTTAAATGTTTAGTTCAGCTTCAACACTGATAATAATTCAACATGAGCATCAGCAGGACTTGAACTCAGGACTCTGTGATAAACACACGACACTTTGACCAGCTGAGCCACTGAGTCTGACACATTCTGCTGTTCTTCTGTCTCAGTTTTATCCAGAGATTTGTTGTGATAAACAATAATGTGAAAATGCAGGATTGTAAATCAGACTATCATAATCTACAGACGAGCGATCCTCCACTGAGCCACAGACATCTCAGTTATTTACTTCCTTATTACTGTTAGTAAGTCTAGTTTAGCTAACACTGATAATAATTCAGCATCAGCAATATTGAGAGCAGAACTCTGGTCTTGTTGACTGAAGGCGATGACTTTCCTGCTGCGCCACTGAGATTGAGGGTCAGAAGTTTGGTCATGAGACTACATTGAAAAGCAGCTAAAAGACTGATTAAACATGAATAACAGGAACACAAGAGAGCAGATCAGTGTGTTAATGAGCGCCACCTTGTGGACAATAAGTATCTGCATTCGTACATGAAAACATCAGCAGGACTTTAAGAACAGCTCTGTGATCCTGATCCTGCTAAGCTGCTCTCCTGAGTTTAGCTGCAACCCTGATTAAACACAGCAGCAGCAGCTAATAAAGGCCTTCAGCATCACTAGAAGCTCCAGACTGATGTGCTGCATTGTTTAAGACACAGATAATAATGATTATTTATGTACTTAAAAAACATTTCAATAAATAACTGCTTAATTATTGACTTTGGTATTAATTGTTATTTACACATGTATGTTTAATCATTTTGAGTTCGATCATATATTTTACTGACCATTTTTATAATACTGTATAACTCAGAGTTTCACACATTAATATATGTTTTCTTGCCACATCAGTTTAGACACTCAAAGCAAAACTGAACCAAACCTCTGTCCTAAACATCATTAAATTAAACACCTCAGCAGTCCAGTCAGGGGCCTGTAGCATGAAGATGGGCCGGTTAGACGGTTAACTTTCAGTTTAGTTTGCACCGATTTTGGTTTTTAGGTAATATAAAAGCAGCTCGACTTAAATCATTATTTATTGTCATGGTATCACAGAGAGGAGCATAGCTGAGCTCCTTTCATGGCACCTAAAACCCAGAATTGGTGCAAACTAAACTAACACTGAACTAGCTAGCCACTAATCTGGCTTCATAGCACAGGCTGCACATCTCCACCATACAAGTGAATGCTGTGGTGTGTTTGAGTAGGGGCCTCCCTGACCTCCAAGAAGCCAGTTCAGAAGAGCTTTTGCTTTAGCCTGCAAAACAAAACAAAACAAAGCTAGACAAAAAAGTGCAATACATTGCTAATGTAATACATACTAATTTAAGATTTCATCACTTGAGGCCTTTAAAATGTATAAAACACAATATTGTTTTGTACAAATGGCTGCTTTGATAATAGGACTAACATGAGTGGAGGAAATGAGCGCTGATAGTGTAGCTATGTGTTCAGACTCAGCTTTGAGAAGATTTACTGTAATACATGAGGTGTTCACACTTCTATATCAGAGAAAAAAGGAGAGACAATTGAGTTTTGCTGGATACCTGAAGATGAAGGAGTGCATGGGAATGAAACTGCTGATCAATGGGCAGAGAAGGCATTATAAAGTAACAGGATAGATGTTTGGGTACTCTTAGGAAAAGGTGAAATAAAAGAAGGAATGGCTAGGAGTTTGGGTTTAAGATAAGAAGGGACGACATTTATATCAAATTAAAATACTAGTGGAGACAAAGAAAAATGTGTGGTAAACAAAGGAAGAAGTTATAGTAAGTAGACTGAGGTTAGGACACACTAGACCACATTCAACATTGACAATAATGAGAGTCAAAGTAATGATGTATGCGAACACTGTAGAGTTAGAGAAATGGGAAACATCTTATATTTGTATTTATATATAATTAATACTCGTACTTCTATAATTAATTCCATATTGATAATGAACAGAAAGACAGAAAAGCTTTAATAATATATGATAACATATATGTTAGGGGCCTGGATGCCTACCTAGGGATGTGTTCCTGGCTTGTCCCACTGAAAGGATCTTGGGGGAAGAACGAGGACTCACTGGAGGCACTCGGCTTGCCTGGGAACGCCTCAGCCCATGGAGGATCTGGAGGAAGTGTCTGAAGAACTCACAAGTCCTGATGAAATGATTTTAGACAAACACAATATTATTTTAAAACTCTTAAAAGACCTTTAAATCGAAAAGCAACCAGAACTATGAACATACTATACAATATAAATATTATTATTATGTATATGTTTTTTTTTCTCTTAAGATTTGATGTGCTTTTGATTGTAAAATGTTCAGCATATATAAGAGAAATAGTATACAGCATAAACTATAAAAACAAACAATAGGTGCCGACATGTGCTTATGACACCAACCCACCAGAGAAAAAAAAGAAATAGAAATCAATCGCAGAAGCGCAGTTTTTCATCCGCTCCACTAGGCGGCGCGAGTGGCTTCTGGTTCAGTCTGACTCGCAGCTTCAGGTGTTTTTTTGACAACAAGGAAGAAGCGTGTGATGACAGATGACAGTCTCCAAAACAAAACACCTGCAGTTTGTTTTAAATACTTAATTTACAGATGACAGCTTAGCGACAGACTCTTAATGTGTTTAAACAGCACATATTTCAGCTCAACAGCAGATTAAAGCAGCAGAATCTGCGATCAAGTGCAGGAATCGACTGAAGAGACTCACCTGTAAGTATCAGCTCCTATAAAGTTCTCTTTCTGCTTGTGAAATGACTGACACGGGCTCTATAAACAGCTTCTGCTCTTTATAAAGAGCGCTGATTAATAGTGTCTGCTGTTATGAATACAGCTCGTCTGTCAGTTGATGTATATTTCTGTTGTGATGGATGAAATGAGTTGAACACTGTAAGAGTCAGAGCTGATGTTGATGCTGTCTTTAATCTTCAACATGTTCAACAGTGGAGTCTGACAAACAAGCATGAATGAAGCTTTCCTCAGCTTTCATGAAGTATTATCTGATTGTTTACATGTTTCTTGCTAATGTCACTGATAGAGTTTATGTTTATAGTTTATTTGAGAGAGAATATTGTGATATTTATATTATAAAGCAGCATAAATCTGCACTTATCCTTGTTTAAAAGTCAATTAGTGAGCTTTTGTAGAGCTGCAGTCTTCAATATTGTAGCTGTCAATAGACACTGTACTGTACGTTATCTTATGTTGATGAAGGATTATGTTGCTGAATTCTGATCAGTTCTGCTGTTTCAGATGTGCTTTTGTAGTAAAGTCTTTATTTGTGTGTTTCCTCTCCAGAATGAAGCTTGTGTTTGGACTGTACAGCCAAGAGAAGCGGAGCTCTGGGACATTTGACAGCCGTGGACTGTAAGGACGGACGTCTGCTGCTGGACAGGTGAGACCCGCACATTGTGTTTGAGGTTTGGTGTATCGGTTATTATCCTTTTCTTTCTGGAGGGTCGTCCCTCTGGAAAGGAAATGATAGTAACCGAAACGGGAGGAGAAGGGACGAGGGTCTGAATTTTTATACAGCTAAATTTAATTTTGTGGTAAAAAGCAGCATAACCCCTGCTGTACATGGCCCCGTAGGTCAGGGTGGGACCCGACCCATCCCACCCCTTCTTTCACACCACATTCACACATATCGCAGTGATCTGGCTGGGATTGAACCAGCGACCTCTTACCCTGTGAGGCATTGCTCTACCACTGAGCCACAGATCACATGTAGGAAGATGTGCTGGAACTCATATTTGACTATTCAAGTGAACATGAAAACATTTAAAGCTTGAGTGGGGTTTGAACCCAGACCTCTCTGATGAGCACACAATGCTCTACCACTGAGCCACATTTCTCATGATAAATCACATACTGGAACTCATATTTGACTATTATTTCACTGATCTCTGTGCAATAAGAAAGCAAAGCAGGGGTTTGAACCCAAGTCTGTTCAACAAGCTTCCCCACAGAGAGCATGTGTTCATTCAGTAGCGCCACTGTGGCTCTCACACATGCATGAGGAGTTTAGCAAATTTATTATGTCAAATATTATGTTATTTATTTCATGTTTGCAATAGTGAGATTAGAGTCCAGGTCTTCTTTATAACAGTTCAATGCTCTAACCACTGAGCCACAGATTTTCTGACTGAACACATGCTGGAACTTATATTTCACCCTGATTTTACTCATATTCTGTTAAAGCTTCAACTGAAGTAGGATTTGAACCCACAACTTCATGGTTGGAGAACATGTGTTTAACCACATGCACCACTGACTTTCAGAATGAAAGCAGAAGTTTTGGACACTTTGTTGCATTTATTGACATCTTTCTTCATATTTAAATGTGAGATTTGAACCCAGCATTATCAAGAGTTGTATTTAAAAGTGAGGCTCAACTTCCAGACTTCAGCAGACGGTAAGGGAGACTTTAATACTCTTTTTTTATTCAGTTTGTGTTTCTGCATCTTAAAAATTTTTAATTTCAGCTTTAGTTTAGTCAAATAAAGGTTTTATTATTATCTGAATCTCAAAGTTTGACATTGAAGCTTCTTGTTTGCTGAAAGTCCTTAATTAACAGCCTCAGGTGTTTCTAATCAGGTTGCAGGTGAACTGAAGTGGCTCTTCGGGATCAGGATTGTCCTAAAGGAAAGCTCTTTGTGTTTCAGTCTTCATGTGTTGATGCAGATCCACTGATTGTCCACAAGAGGGAACTGAAACACTGATTTCATTTTAGGTTTGATAAATATTTTAAAGCTTGTTTGGAGTGGTGCAACACAAAACATTGTTATTGTTAAAAATGTTTAAAAATGACTGTATATCTATTTTATTTTAACATCATTGTTTTCTGTGGGGTTCTTCAGTGGTACATCATCCAGTTTAATAACTTACCAAAGGAGGGTCTCAGTTTTAAAAGACTGAACTGAAATAAATGAAAAGTTTGTAGATCAGATCAGTGTTTCAGTTCCCTCTTGTGGACAATCAGTGGATCTGCATCAACACATGAAGACTGAAACACAAAGAGCTTTCCTTTAGGACAATCCTGATCCCTAAGAGCCACTTCAGTTCACCTGCAACCTGATTAGAAACACCTGAGGCTGTTAATTAAGGACTTTCAGCAAACAAGAAGCTTCAATGCCAAACTCTGAGATTCAGATAATAATAAAACCTTTATTTGACTAAACTAAAGCTGAAATTAAGAATTATTAAGATACAGAAACACAAACTGAATAAAAAAAAAAGAATATTAAAGTCTCGCTTACCGTCTTTACTGAAGTCTGGAAATTGAGCCTCACTTTTAAATACATCTCTTGATATTCCTGGGTTCAAATCTCACATTTAAATGTGAAGAAAGATGTCAATAAATACAAGAATGCGTTCAAATTCCACTTTTGATTGTGATAAACAGATGTAAATAAATCCAAGAAAGTGTCCAAAACACCAGCTAAGAACGTGAAAGCCTCAGTGGTGCATGTGGTTAAACTCATGCTCTCTCATGATGGAGTTATGGGATCAAATCCTACTTCAGTTGATGTTCTAGCAGGATATTCGTAAAATCTGGTTAAAATATAAGTTCCAGCAAGTATTCAGTTAAGAAATCTGTGGCTCAGTGGTTAGAGAGTTGCACTGTTATAAAGAAGACCTGGACTCTAATCTCACTATTGCAAACATTACATACATGTCATAATAATTGACAAACTTGGCTAAACTCCGCATGCAAGTGTGAGAGCCACAGTGGCGCTACTGGATGAACACATGCTCTCTGTGGGGAAGCTTGTTGAACAGACTTGGGTTCAAACCTCAGCTCTGCTGTCTTTTTTGCACAGAGATCAGTGAAATAATAGTCAAATATGAGTTCCAGCATGTGATTTATCATGAGAAATGTGGCTCAGTGGTAGAGCATTGTGTGCTCATCAGAGAGATCTGGGTTCAAACCCCACTCAAGCTTTAAATGTTTTCATGTTCACTTGAATAGTCAAATATGAGTTCCAGCACATCTTCCTACATGTGATCTGTGGCTCAGTGGTAGAGCAATGCCTCACAGGGTAAGAGGTCGCTGGTTCAATCCCAGCCAGATCACTGCGATATGTGTGAATGTGGTGTGAAAGAAGGGGTGGGATGGGTCGGGTCCCACCCTGACCTACGGGGCCATGTACAGCAGGGGTTATGCTGCTTTTTACCACAAAATTAAATTTAGCTGTATAAAAATTCAGACCCCCGTCCCTTCTCCTCCCGTTTCGGTTACTATCATTTCCTTTCCAGAGGGACGACCCTCCAGAAAGAAAAGGATAATAACCGATACACCAAACCTCAAACACAATGTGCGGGTCTCACCTGTCCAGCAGCAGACGTCCGTCCTTACAGTCCACGGCTGTCAAATGTCCCAGAGCTCCGCTTCTCTTGGCTGTACAGTCCAAACACAAGCTTCATTCTGGAGAGGAAACACACAAATAAAGACTTTACTACAAAAGCACATCTGAAACAGCAGAACTGATCAGAGTTCAGCAACATAAGATAACGTACAGTACAGTGTCTATTGACAGGTACAATATTGAAGACTGCAGCTCTACAAAAGCTCACTAATTGACTTTTAAACAAGGATAAGTGCAGATTTATGCTGCTTTATAATATAAATATCACAATATTCTCTCTCAAATAAACAATAAACAAACTCTATCAGTGACATTAGCAAGAAACATGTAAACAATCAGATAATACTTCATGAAAGCTGAGGAAAGCTTCATTCATGCTTGTTTGTCAGACTCCACTGTTGAACATGTTGAAGATTAAAGACAGCATCAACATCAGCTCTGACTCTTACAGTGTTCAACTCATTTCATCCATCACAACAGAAATATACATCAACTGACAGACGAGCTGTATTCATAACAGCAGACACTATTAATCAGCGCTCTTTATAAAGAGCAGAAGCTGTTTATAGAGCCCGTGTCAGTCATTTCACAAGCAGAAAGAGAACTTTATAGGAGCTGATACTTACAGGTGAGTCTCTTCAGTCGATTCCTGCACTTGATCGCAGATTCTGCTGCTTTAATCTGCTGTTGAGCTGGAATATGTGCTGTTTAAACACATTAAGAGTCTGTCGCTAAGCTGTCATCTGTAAATGATGTATTTTAAACCAACTGCAGATGTTTTGTTTTGGAGACTGTCATCTGTCATCACACGCTTCTTCCTTGTTGTCAAACAAACACCTGAAGCTGCGAGTCAGACTGAACCAGAAGCCGCTTTTGCCGCCTAGTGGAGCGGATGAAGAACAGCACTTTACTCATAATTGTGCACTCAAAGATGCTTCAGATTGGGTCACTAATTATAGGCTATATTTTAGTCTCACGTCACATGCTTAAACATTTTCAGACTAAAGCATTAAATTCCCTATCACAAAAACAGAGCAAATCTATACTTAATATTAGTACAGAGATGGTGTTTGAATCCACAACCTCACCTTCAAGTAAGATGTGTTTATCCAGTTGAGCCACAATGACTTACACACTCACTGCTGCAGTTTAGCACACTTTGCTGGATGTAATGCACCTCAAAGGTTTTAACATAACGATAATTGTATTTGAACCCAGGACTCCAGAATCTCAAGCAAACTCTTTATGTCACACACCACAGAGGATGTTGGATAGGATCCAAGGACAGAGGACATTTTGATGTTTAAATGTTTAGTTCAGCTTCAACACTGATAATAATTCAACATGAGCATCAGCAGGACTTGAACTCAGGACTCTGTGATAAACACACGACACTTTGACCAGCTGAGCCACTGAGTCTGACACATTCTGCTGTTCTTCTGTCTCAGTTTTATCCAGAGATTTGTTGTGATAAACAATAATGTGAAAATGCAGGAATGTAGATCAGACTATCATAATCTGCAGACGAGCGATCCTCCACTGAGCCACAGACATCTCAGTTATTTACTTCCTTATTACTGTTAGTAAGTCTAGTTTAGCGAACACTGATAATAATTCAGTATCAGCAATATTGAGAGCAGAACTCTGGTCTTGTTGACTGAAGGCGATGACTTTCCTGCTGCGCCACTGAGATTGAGGCTCTCAGAGGTTTAAGTTTGGTCATGAGACTACATTGAAAAGCAGCTGAAAGACTGATTAAACATGAACACACAAGAGCAGAACAGTGTGTTAATGAGCGCCACCTTGTGGACAATAAGTCTACTTGCATTCACACATGAAAACATCAGCAGGACTTTTAAACACAGCTGTGTGATCCTGATCCTGCTGAGCTGCTCTCCTGAGTTTAGCTCTGATTTCTTTACTCAATAAGAATGTTTGAACAATAACAGAAATGCATTAATACTTTTAAATTACTCAAAAGACTGAATTAATCAATTTACAATGACAATCTGTCCTTCCACATTAACAATAATTTACAAAAACAATACAAAAATATACATATTAATAAATACAATAATAAAAACAACTCAAATAAATGATGAATCAGCATCAGGTTCTCTAAATATCAATCCAGAATCTTGTAATAAAGTATATAAATATCTTGCTCTTTGACTTTTCATCTCTCTGAATGTCTTATAATGTATCAGAAATTCTTCTTATACTTCAGTCCTGATTAAAAACAGCAGCAGCAGCTAATCAAGACCTTTAGCATCACTAGAAGCTCCAGACTGATGCGCTGCATTTTTTATGACACAGATAATATTAAAAACAACAACAATTTATTTCAACTGTTGAATTATTGATATTTGTAAGTTTGATCATATATTTTACTGGCCATTTTCATGATGCTGTATAACTCAGGCCACTTGTTTTAATACATTGATCTATGTTTTCTTGCCACATCAGTTTAATCACTCAAATTAAAGCTGAACTAAACCTCTGTCCTAAGAGTCATTAAAATAAACACATCAGCAGTCCAGTCAGGGGCCTGTAGTGTGAAGCTGGATTAGCTGGTTGGACGGTTAACTTTCAGTTTAGTTTGCACAAGTTCTGGGTTTTAGGTAGGGCTGCAGGATATTGGGAAAAACTGACATCGCAATATTTCGTTTTTCTGCGATATAAACTGCAATAGGAATATTATTTCACAATACGACTAACAACTTGAATTTGGAATAAGTTTGATTGTTTGATTTTGTCGAGGAGTGAATTTGCATAAAATATAATAAACATACAACAAGCATAAATTAATCAAATAGAAGAAATATACATGTTATATAAACTGTGCTTTATGGCTTTCTGGAGAGTCTAACAGGACTGAGGGACAGAAATTAAAAGATCAAATGTAGAATATCACTTTATAAGATTGAAAACCTTTCATTAAAGTTATCCTCACACTATTTAACAACATCCCGTCCTGTCCTAGGAACATTTTGAAACACTTTTGTGATACACTTCAAACATTGACTACTTTAGTCTTCACTGTGGAAATAATTAAATGCAATTATTCTTTGTTAAAGCTACACATTTGATCATTTCTAGTGCCCAAATGATTTAAATTCACTTGAAATCTTACATCGTCTAATACAGACCTGATAAGTCTTTCACTCAGTGAGGGTTAAACTGTTCAGAACTGAACTCTGTCTTCTGGTTAATCACAATCCCAACTCAACACAGCAGATCCTGCGATGTGACTATTGCAGATTTGCACATTGTGATATCGATGCTGAATCAATATATTGTGCAGGCCTAGTTTTAGGTAACATGAAGGCAGCTGGACTTTATTCACTCTTTGTTTGCATCATGGAGCAGCCGAGCTGAGCTGAGCTCCTTCATGGTACCTAAAACCCAGAATTGGTGCAACCTAAACTGAAACTGAACTGGCCAGCCACTAATCTGGCTTCATAGCACAGGCTGCACATCTCCACACTGAGTGAATGCTGTGGTGTGTTTGAGAACGGGATGGTGGTGTCTCTCCCTGAGATCCAGAACTGGGTCCAGAAGGGGTTTTGCTTTTGCCTGCAAAAAAAAAAGTGCATTAAACAATCGCTCTGCCGCCTCTTCCACAGTTGTTTTGGTTCTCATTATTCCCTTTCTAGAGGAGTGACCCTCCAAAAAGCAAATGATGGTAAGCGACATGTTGAACAGCACAAACACAAGTGAGAAATCTCCACACATTGACACGTATATTGCAGGAGTAACTTCATAAATCACAGCACAGTGAATAAAACAGCTTTAGATCACTCACACCACAGCTAAAACTGAAGAATCTGTCATCATTTACTCACCCTTCACTTGTTTATTAGAATATATTTAGAAGAAAGCTGAATACCTGGAATCGTTGTCTTCATAGTATTTGTTTTCTCTGTTAGGGAAGTCGATGGTTACAGATTTCCAGCTTTCCTCAAAATACTTTCTTTTGTGTTCAACAGAATAAAGAAACTTGTAAAGAGGATTTGAGGGTGAGTAAATGAAGTAAATTTTCATTCAACATTTACGCATTAATCTTAATTTAATGTTTAAATGTTGATGTCTAATTAATTTAAGCATTAAAATGTTCATTTTTGGATAAAGTATCCCTCTAAGCATTGTAAAATGTCCTGTAAGCGCTTGCATAATCTCATACTATACATTCATCTGCTCTCAATATCAGTCAAAGTAAAATAACAACATAAAATGTTTGTTTTGATGCACAAGATGCTGGCATAGATGACATATTTCGCTCTGATAATTGTTGTAATTATGATTATTTTTAGAGTCAGTGGGCCTATGAAAATTACAGTTATTATTATGTGTGAATGTTAACTAATGTAGAAACATTGTGTCAATGCCAGCTTGACATGTTCTGTCTATGTTGTCACATTTAAAAAAATGTCAGATTATGTAAGTGAAACTTATAAGGATAATGTAAGATTATTATATTATTTATTAAGTGACACACATGAATCAGATGGTTTAGATCAGTTTGGAAATAACCCACATGTCAATGTCTTGCTTTCACATGCCAGGTAAAATATTCATGTAGCAGATAATAATAAATAAACAGTAAATAATCCTGCAGCAGTTGCTTTTATCCTAAACATTTTTAAAAGTGAGAAGAACTTATTCATACAAATAAGGAGAAAATAAAATGAGGGGCTGATAGAAATGAAGAGTTAAGAGCACACATAAGAGTCTGAGCATTGCTCTTAAGTGTTGATATGATGCAGTTTGAAGATCACATCACATTTATTCTCAATGGGAACTGAGACTGCGATTCTCTCACACAATTCTCTCTTTTTTGTTTCATTTTTTTTCTCCAATTAACAGTGTTCTTGTCCATGTACACTAACTATCAACATTTTAAGCTTTCATAGAGAAACACAGACATGTTTCAATAGAGATTTATGACTGACTGCTGAATAAACTGTGGTTTGTCATTGTGTGATTGCGACCAATAATGTGGAAATCCAGCATGACCTGGATTACATGGAAATGAATCACCATCATTATCAATGAGATCTTATCCTGATAGTGAATTTATTTAATTTTTTTGTCATAAATATCATATATTTAGACCAGCAATAAACCAGCTAAAATCTCCCGTACCTTCCCTCCTATCCAACTTATCTTCCACTAACATCGACGGCAGGTGAGCTTCAGTTCCCTCTTGTGATCATTGAGTTCATCCATTACGACTTCACTTTAACTAACCTGTTTGACCATGGTGGCTGACACATTCCTTGCATACAGGCTACACTTGCACTGATACATACATTGGTGGCCTTTTAAACAAACGCACAACATAGACATTTTAACTCAAGTCTAAGCATTTTTATATTACATTTTATTGACAATAATTAAATAATAAAATAAACTTAATTAATAATAACATTTTACATTATTAAACTTTTAAATATCATCTGTTAAACAGAATTTACTGAAATAATGATGTGTGTGAATGATGTTCATCTTGAAAAGCTGCTTTGCAAACAGACAGAAGTGCTCAAAACTCCACATGCTGGTGACAGAACAGTGTTCAACACCTCTCTCTCTCTCTCTCTCTCTCTCTCTCTCTCTCTCTCTCTCTGCTTTGAGTCAATAGAAAGCAATGAAAGAAATGTATTTACCTTCATTTCGCGCTGTCATGTCGTCTGATCTGGTGTGAGGAACAACATAACAAAAAATGAAGAAATAAAAAACAAATAAAACAAAACAATGTTTATGTGGGTACAAAAAGTCAATCACAACACTCCAACAATAATCAAACCACCCAAAAGTAGTGTTGAAGATCTTGTGTCTCGTGTTGTTTGTCTGTGTTTGTCCAGATGACTCTAAACACTGGCCATTTAGCGACCTCCATTACTCCAGTTCCTCTGAGAGCTCATTACTGAACCAATATTTCACCGATAGTTTCTACGTTCATCTAATAATTCAGATGCTCGACAAACTGACAGATTAGTCCAGAAATAAAGAAGAAATAATTGGTGCACACTCACCTGCAGCAGAGCAAAGCAGACAGCCACTTCTGATTGAAGACTGATTGATACACTTGATGACCACAAGAGGGACCCTGCAGATACAATGAGTGATAGAATGTTTGCTTGTTCATTTGTTTATTTACTTAGAACAAAAATGTTAATCACTAAACACATTCAGTCATATGCAGGAGGGCCTATTCAAGCTAGATATTTAATGACAGTCGATAACTGGAAGTCATTTTCAGTCTGTCCTGTAGAAAGTGTGCAGTTCTCCTTCCGCTCCGCTAGAGGCGCAAAAGACCTCACGTTCAGCACGAGGCTCACCTTTGGCTCTCTGTAAACAACACGACGCTTGACCATAGTCAAAACAAACCTTTCTGACCGTTTTAAAGATATAAAAGTACATTTCCTGCAGGTGACAGTCAGTGAGAGCCATTAAATGTCACTTATTAGCACACATTTCAGCCCTTTCAAGCAAAAACATGCGACTATCACTGGATAATGTGCAGGAATGCTGGACACTCCATCACCTGTAAGTAACTTTACACTTGTGTCGTTAAAGGATTATAAAGCAATGCTTCATTTGCATTTAATCGTTAATGATGTTTGTATTGAGGTGATTCCTGTAAAGTTTATCATGTAGAATAATAATATTAAGCAGTAGTGCTGTTTGTTTTGTCTGCAGTCTAGTGAATTCATGTCTTCATCTGCATGACAGCATCATGACATCTTTATTTTTAAGCTTCTGGTTATGATTCATCCAGAATTAATGATTTGTGTGTCCAGTTTCATGTTATAAACTTTAATATATAAATATAATGATACATGTTTAAATTGTACACATTTCCTCATCAACACAACTGCTTTGTTTAACACTGTAAACTAGTTGCCATTTGATTGTGTTATGTGGCAATATTATTTTCTTCTTGTAAATCATGTTATAAATGGTACTAAAAACACAGAATATAGAAATAAATATTTATATAGATATAAAATCATGTAATACATATAGCCTTGAATACTTAACATGTATTTCACTACATGAAAATAACAAAATAGACATGCAAGTAATGAAATAGATCTAAAATAATAATGTAACTTTAAATGTAATAGTAATTATATGCAATATACAAACAGAGATTCTTAGTTTTATTTATGGATTCATGTATTTCTCCTTAACTTCAAAAATACAGTGGAATAATTTATTTATTGATGTTTTTCCCTGCAGAGTTTGTGTTTGGACGCATGGACAGTCAGTCGCTGTAATTATGGTCATCTGCTCATCATGCTGAGGTAATTTGTCTCTACTTTTCTGTTTTTTTTTTGTTATTAAAAAGCCTGAAGACTCGATGAATGTGTGTTGTAGAATAGATCACACAAATATAGTGATGATAACTTTCTCAACCTCATGTCATTCTTATTGGAACATGGAAAAATATTTAGCATCAAGTTATTTTATTTATTCATTTTTTCTACACAGTGGATATTTTTTCACCACTGATTAACGTCATTCAGGCTTATAAAGACATACGGGTTGAACAGCTCTTTTCAGTAGCTGTCCATTCATCTTTTCACGCGTTCATAAATATGATTTACTCTTTTCGTTTCACATTGTAGCAGTTGAAACATTTGTATTTGTCAGGATGTTTGCTGTTATGTTATTTATTCCCATCATTTAGTATTGAATTTTTCTATAGGAAGAATTTGTCTATAGTGAGATTAATTTGTCAGTAGTATTTTTTACACCTTTAAATTCTGAATATGTCTTTAAATAATTTTAAGAATTTAAGTATTAACTGTTCTAATAATATTATTTATATAATTTAAAGTCATTTAATTAATTGTAATTATTTTAGACCTTTTTTTGTAATTATATTAAATAATTGAACAGGTTTAAAATGAAAATAACATGAATTTTTTATCCAATTTTCACTTTTTTTTTTTTTATAAATCTGTGGAGGAGTGGTATCTTTAAATACAACAAACGAACAGTTGTTAGTATGAGAAACTGGTGGTTGAGTGGTCAGAGCTCTCGGTTAGAGATCCAAGCCTGATGCAGCAGACCAGGGTTCAAATCACCACGCTGATACTAGTTTTGGGAATTTTTGCAAAAAAAAGGTGTTTTTTTTCCAAAAAAAAAGTTTTCCCTCCTTTCTTTTCAACTCTTCCTTCTCCTCTCTCTGTTCAGCCTCTCCCTGCTCCACCTCTTTCATTGTTCCACCTCTCAGTCCAGCTTACCTTTCTGTCTTACTGCCCTAGGTTTGTCCGAGCCATCACCTCTGTGTTGATTTACCGCCTCAGGATGGTCCTAGCCTTTGCCGCTCAGTTGTCTTACCGCCCCAGGTATGTTTCTGATCTGGTCCGTGTTTCACTGTATGCTCGTGAGCCTTTGATCTCCACCCTCTGCTCAGCCCTCTGTTCTGTTATACCGCCCCAGGTATTGTCTTTGGTGTATTCCGCACACCTGAGGTGAGTTTCGTACCCACGACTCTTCGTAGCCTTGTCCACAGCCAACGTGTGTTACCAGTCGTGCCATCCTGGCTTTCACATTAACACCTGCTTTTTGGCGCATTTTGTTTGTTTAATGATGGCAATTAAACCAAAGAAATAGTGAGATTTGAACTCGGGTCTCCAAGATGAAAGCCTAGTGCTTTATGTCCTGAGCCACTGAAGCTCTGGAGTTTATAAGGTGTTTTTCTGTATATTTAGTGATGCAGTATTCTGAGTTTGCATAAGAAAGAAAGAAGATAGTATCTGCAGGATTCGAACCCATACTATTAAGCACAATAACTGAATATTCTCCCACTGAGCCACAAGCTTACTGACGCATTGCATGTTTCTTATTGCAGTTTTATCAGCTGTATAGGAATTTTATAAAAGCAGTAGTGGGATTTGAACCCGGGTCTCCAAGATGAAAGCCTAGTGCTTTACATCCTGAGCCACTGAAACTCTGGAGTTTATGAAGTGTTTTTCTGTATATTTAGTGATACATTATTCTGAGTTTGCATAAGAAAGAAAGAAGATAGTATCTGCAGGATTCGAACCGATACTGTTAAGCACAATAACTGAATATTCTCCCACTGAGCCACAAGCTTACTGATGCATTGCATGTTTCTTATTGCAGTTTTATCAGCTGTATAGGAATTTTATAAAAGTAGTAGTGGGATTTGAACCCGGGTCTCCAAGATGAAAGCTCAGTGGTTTTATCACTGAGCCATTGAATCTGGAGTCTTGCAATGCTTTTAGATCTGGTTTTGATTAAAAAAAAATATATGACAAAAAAATTTTAGCTAACAGAAGTAAACACTGGCAATAGTGGGATTTGAACCCGGATCTCCAAGATGAAAACTCAAATAAATTTACCACTGGGCCATTAATTCTGTGAGGTTAGGAAGCTTTTGGACAAGGTTTTGTTGAAAGCTTTACTTCATATGAATAAAAACTTTTAGTTTACAAAGTTAAACGTTTGCAATAGTGGGATTTGAACCCGGGTCTCAAAAAATGCAACTTCAAAGATTTTACCACCAGGCCATTGAAGCAGTGAGCCACACTTGATTTGAACAGGGCTTTGTTAAAAAAATTATTTTGTAGGGCCAAAAATGTTTAGTTTGCAGAGTTAAATACCTGCAATAGTGGGATTTGAACCCAGGTCACTAAGAAGAAAGATCAAAGATTTTACCACTAGACTATTGAATCCGGCAGCTTCATATGGTTTTGGTCAGAGTTTTGTTGAAAGTTTTAATTTATTTGACCAAAATTGTTTAGTATTTTTGTTAGACACTTGCATCAGTGGGATTTGAACATGGGTCTCCAAGTTTAAAGCTTAAAGATTTTACCACTGGGCCATTGAATGTATGGGTTTGAATATGTTTTGGACAGAGTTTTGGTGAAAGCTTTAATTTATATGGTTAAAATGTTTTAGTTTATAGGGTTAAACACTTACATTTGTGGGATTTGAACCTGGGTTACTTGGGTCTCCAAGTTATATGCTCAAAGATTTTACCCCTGAGCCACTGAGTCTCAGGTTCCCCCTATGTTTTGGACTTCTCTTTTATAGGCAGCTTTCAGAAACAGCATTTACATTTATAAAACTAAAAACAAATGCTCATTCAAAACTGCTTTTAGCTTCACAGCTTCAGTAGCTCAAGTATTAACGCATCAAGTTTTGAATCCTTGAGACCCGGGTTCAAATCCCACTCTTGCAGAGCTATCGAGTCTGAGAGTTGTTTAAACCGAAGTTTTGTTTTATTTGTGTTTGTCTATTTGATAACGCACATATATGAAGTGGAGTCTTCAAGTATGATCACCCATACTCTAGCCTGTTTTTAATTTATCCAAGCTCTGCCGGGATTGAGAATGCAACCTTTCGATTACAAGTCCAAATCCCTAACCACTAGGCCACAGCTGCCTCCTATACACAGCAATCGTTGCATTTGAAACTCCTCTCATTAATTTTTTTTTTTTCAATTAGGAGTTTATGTACAATATTTAGTGGATGAGCAGAAGTGGATTTAAACAACTTTTAATCAGTTTATGTTGAAATATTGAGCTTGACATTAGATTTGGACACATTGTGGAATTTAAACGTGACGTTTGACTGAGGATTTTGAAATGTTATAAAAATAATGTTTTTTGTTATAATTTTAGGATTTGTTTACATTTCTTAATTCATGGTTCACCTCATAAGCCTTAACAGATGTACAGCATAATATTTCCATCCTAATTTTTCTATCACTTCTAGATGAGCTTGTGATTCATTGAACACAGCTGGCAGATCCTTTAGGGTTCATCAGTCCAACTGCTTCTGAGCTGGACCTGAGAGAGACATCTAGTGCTCAATGCTGAAATTACAGCTCATTCACAAACAAATGAGTGGAATATTGTTGCAGGTAAGGTAAAAAACACAATCATCATGACAATTGTAAATAAACTTTTTAATAAAAATACGGCTCCTCATATTTGACGTTTTTTAGTCTCTAAACACTTTTAATCAGTGTCATTGAGTAACCTATGAAAGATTAGTCTTCATAATCTCTCCGAGACACACAGTAGCGTAGCAGGACGCCTCCAAGTCAAAGTTTAGTGACAGACAGTGTGTGTTAGACTCGTCTGATGAACTCGTCTGCAGGCTATATGTGATGTTCTGTGGCTTAGCGAGCAGGGGTCGATAACATCCAGGGACGTTGAGTTTAAGGGGAGTCACTCTGAATCGGCAGGACTCCAAACCGTCTTGAGCCAATCGGTCTTGATACCATTGACCCAAAAGGTTTTCTGGATACTTGACACTATTTCCTGGCATAGGAAGAATCACCTGGATGAAAAACCACAGAGGCACAATAAGAGACTGATGGGTAAGAGTTACTGTAGCAGACATACAGAGCAATGAAAGACATCTGAAACAGTACCTGGTCTAATGAGAAAACCTCATTCTTCTCCTCATCTGAAGCCACAACATGGATCTACAGCACAGAAAACAAGTGAAAATGAATGGAAAACCACAAATAAGAACAAGAAACAATAATACAAATGTACAATCATTCAACATACCTGCATTTATGTACACACACTCTTCTTTAATAAAATATTTGAAAGATTTATGCATGTTTAATTTATATATACATTTTTAAAATACTTCTTTACAAAGTAGACTCAAATAATCAAACAAATGTTTCTTAAAGTTGTATTTCAGGGTAAATGTTAGGATATTATTAGATTGAAATTTACTCTGAATAAAGTGCGTGTTTGTTTTATTCTTATGATTTATTTCACCCAATTCAATCTAAACACAAACCGTTTCTGGCTATTATTTAGCAATAACTAAATCAAGACCCTTACCTGTGGAGCACTGAGCTCCTCTGTGACATCTTTGAGCCCTTTTACAGGCTCAGCCCAAACCAGATCGCCCTGAACAGGCTTAAAGCCCAGTTTTTGCAGCCTGTATTTGGCTGCTTGGTTCCACACTCTGCTGCAGTAGGAGTGAAGGTAGAAGACCCTCATGCTGTGGGGTAAACTGAGCCAGCCACGAGTGCAACCCTCCTGTCCACTGCCGTACCGGTGGAGCGCCCGCAGCATGAGCCGCTCTCTGGCTTTATACGCTGGCATCAGCGCCAAGCTCTCCTTGGCATTCCCTGAACGAAGAGAACAGTTAGTCGTTCTTGGACGCACTGAAACTGAAATAAATGAAGCAACAATGATCAGCATGTATTGGAAAATCCCCAATAATATGTTTTAGCTTCATGTTTATCTATTTTCTACAGCACATTGTTCAACATTAGTTGTTTAATTGTGCTTTACAAATAAAGATTGAATGATTAAATATACATCTGTGGCTGAACTATAACTATTTTAGCTATCACAGAAATCCCAGCACTCACCTGTTTGCAGAAAATGACGTTTAGCTTTGTTCTGGAGGTCATCGTCATCCTCTGGGGTGAAGAACAGATTAACTGAAGCCTCCTGCTCAAACACAGTGTTTCTAACAAAAGCCGGAGCATCACATATAACTGATCAATGGAAATGACTCTATTACCATATTCTCCTTCAACAGCGCAAGCCCTACTTGATCTGCTTGGACACACGAACCACTTCCAAACCGCTGAGGACCGTAATAATTCACAAAGCCTTTGTTCTGAAAAATCAAAACTAATATTTAGTAGTTCTGTGTGTACATCTCTTCATGAAATGCTGATGAACATACACACATTTACCTTCACATTTTCCACTGCTTCCTCTATAAGCTGTGGCAGCTCTGCAAGACCATGTTTCCCATGATGCTTCAGATGACCAGCTCAAAGTGATTTCCCTGCAGTCTTCCAAGCTTAAGAGCTTCAAACACAGGACGGACACGAGAGATCTGCATTCCCCTCCTCTCAAACTCTGAGCCTTTCTCCAGCAACCTGACACACAAATGTGTTTATATGCATCTACAAATGTAAAGAAGTTGACCATGATGTGAACTCTCATTAAGGATCCCAAAGACCCCATCCCCATCTTATCTTTAAAAACATGCACTTCAATTCATATCCTTTTCTTGCACATTGCTTCTTGTTGATGAAACAGAATAAATACTTTGCAATAAATTTGACGATTAAAGTTTTAGAAAGCAAATAGATATTTTATCAAATTGGTGAATGTAAAGTGAACATATGCATACACATAATACACTAGAATGAAACTTGTTTTTATTTTTGTTTTAATTTTTTAGACTAAAATGTAAAGCTTTATACTCAGAGGCTCTTTATATAAGCTATCATCATTATATATGAATATTTTGCACTATATACACTGCAAGTTTTAAAAATTAATTTCTGGCACCATCTTGTGGCTCTTCTCAAGTACTTCATAATAACATAAAAAATCCCTAAATAATTCGATGAAGTAAAAGAAACAAATGACAAATATTAGGGAAATCATGACATCAGGTGATGGGTCTGTTTACCGCTCTGGAGAGATCTTTTTCACCACCATGGCCTGGTAAGTAATGGCTCTCTTGTCTTTAATTCCTGCATAAGTGAAATCAGAGGGAAGCACTGCGAGTTCTGCAGCCATGTAGCTGATTGCCTCCAGAGTCTCCAGGTTCTCCTTCCGCAGAGTAAAAGCTGATAGGAAAGGAGGATTGTCACCTAAACTTGGTTTTACATGTCAACAAGAGATGTTTCTTCTTCACTCACCTGTGTATAAACTCTCCTCCTGCATTTGACAGTCTGCCATCGTTCTCTTCTTGGCTTGTTTGTTTAGTTTGCACAAGTTCTGGGTTTTAGGTAGGGCTGCAGGATGTTGGGAAAAACTGACATCGCAATATTTCGTTTTTCTGCGATATAAACTGCAATAGGAATATAATTTCACAATACGACTAACAACTTGAATTTGGAATAAGTTTGATTGTTTGATTTTGTCGAGGAGTGAATCTGCATAAAATATAATAAACATACAACAAGCATAAATTAATCAAATAGAAGAAATATACATGTTATATAAACTGTGCTTTATGGCTTTCTGGAGAGTCTAACAGGACTGAGGGACAGAAATTAAAAGATCAAATGTAGAATATCACTTTATAAGGTTGAAAACCTTTCATTAAAGTTATCTTCACACTATTTAACAACATCCCGTCCTGTCCTAGGAACATTTTGAAACTCTTTTGTGATACACTTCAAACATTGACTACTTTAGTCTTCACTGTGGAAATAATTAAATGCAATTATTCTTTATTAAAGCTACACATTTGATCATTTCTAGTGCCCAAATGATTTAAATTCACTTGAAATCTTACATCGTCTAATACAGACCTGATAAGTCTTTCACTCAGTGAGAGTTAAACTGTTCAGAACTGAACTCTGTCTTCTGGTTAATCACAATCCCAACTCAACACAGATTTGCAGATTTGCACATTGTGATATCGATGCTGAATCAATATATTGTGCAGGCCTAGTTTTAGGTAACATGAAGGCAGCTGGACTTTATTCACTCGTTGTTTGCATCATGGAGCAGCCGAGCAGAGCTGAGCTCCTTCATGGTACCTAAAACCCAGAATTGGTGCAACCTAAACTGAAACTGAACTGGCCAGCCACTAATCTGGCTTCATTGCACAGGCTGCACATCTCCACACTGCGTGAATGCTGTGGTGTGTTTGAGAACAAGATGGTGGTGTCTCTCCCTGAGATCCAGAACTGTGTCCAGAAGGGGTTTTGCTTTTGCCTGCAAAAAAAAAAGTGCATTAAACAATCGCTCTGCCGCCTCTTTCCCAGTTGTTTTGGTTCTCATTATTCCCTTTCTAGAGGAGTGACCCTCCAAAAAGCAAATGATGGTAAGCGACATGTTGAACAGCACAAACACAAGTGAGAAATCTCCACACATTGACACGTATATTGCAGGAGTAACTTCATAAATCACAGCACAGTGAATAAAACAGCTTTAGATCACCCACACCACAGCTAAAACTGAAGAATATGTCATCATTTACTCACCCTTCACTTGTTTATTAGAAGATATTTAGAAGAAAGCTGAATACCTGTAATCGTTGTCTTCATAGTATTCGTTTCCGCTGCTAGGGAAGTCGATGGTTACAGATTTCCAGCTTTCCTCAAAGTATCTTCTTTTGTGTTTGGAACAACCTGAGGGAAAGTAAGTAGAGTAAACATTAGTTTTTGGATAAACTATCTCTCTAAGCATTGTAAAATGTCCTGTAAGCGCTTTCATAATCTCACACTATACATTCATCTGCTCTTAATATCAGTCAAAGTAAAATAACAACATAAAATGTTTGTTTTGATGCACAAAATGCTGGCATAGATCACATATTTTGCTCTGATAATTGTTGTAATTATGATTGATTATTTTTAGCAAAGTCATATTGTTTCTATGACAAACGACATTATACAAACTGCAGATGTTATTAAGTGTCAATTTCTATCAACAGTAGAAACTAGGGCTGCATGATATTGGAAAAATAGACATGGTGATATTTTGTTTTGCTGCAATATATATTGCAATGATATAATTTCACCAGGGCCCGGTTTTTCAAAAGGTTTAATCCGGATAAAATTTATCCGGATTTAGTAATCCTGTCTTTGCGGTTCGTGATCACGTAATCCAGCTTACTTTTTGAGCCAGTTTTTCAAAGCAACATCGGATTGAACACCCCCTGCCTACAGACATGTCGTTACAATGAGATCTCACCCAGACAGTGATTTTATTTATTTATTTTTTATTTGTTTTTTTGTGTGATAAATATTATATATTTGTGAAAAAATTATGTATCAATGTTATCTATCACCCCTGCTGAAAAAATCATGTTGATAAAGCATAGGCTTTGTTGCTGGTCTAAGCTGGTCAGGACCAGCACAAAAAAAATCTACCTTACCTTCCTTCCTATCTAACTTATCTTCCACTAACATCGACAGCAGGTGAGCTTCAGTTCCCTCTTGTGGTCATTGAGTTTATCCATTACGACTTCACTTCAACTAACCTGTTTAGCCATGGCTGACACATTCCTTGCATACAGGCTACACTTGCACTGATACATACATTGGTGGCCTTTAAAACAAACGCACAACATAGACATTTTAACTCAAGTCTAAGCATTTTTTAAATATTTTTTATTGACAATGAAACAATTAAATTATAAAATAAACTAAATTAATTAATAATAACATTTTACATTATTAAACTTTTAAATATCATCTGTTAAACAGAATTTACTGAAATAATGATGTGTGAATGATGTTCTTGAAAAGCTGCTTTGTAAACAGACAGAAGTGCTCAAAACACCACATGCTGGTGACAGATCAGTGTTCAACACCTCTCTCTCTCTCTTTCTCTCTCTCTCTCTCTCTCTCTCTCTCTCTCTCTCTCTCTCTCTATATATATATATATATATATATTAATAGATGAGCTACAGTCGAGATCATTGCTACAATATTTTGCCGCTTTGAGTCAATCGAAAGCGATTAAATAAATGTATTTATTTACCTTCATTTCGCGCTGTCATGTCATTTGCCGTGAAAAACAAAATAACGAAAAATGAATAAACAGATAAAACAAAACAATGTTTATGTGGGTACAAAAAGTCAATCACAACACTTCAACAATAATCA